TGCACTCCAAGCACTTCCCATGGGGTGGGCTGTGGGCTGGACCCTTGCGATGACTCACCAGTCTCTGAGTGGCTCCTTTTTTTTTCAGTTGTTCTGGCTCCTCGCTCCTACGTGGGTCCATTGGAATCCAATTAGTCTGGTCTTGCTGGCCTGGGGGTCACCAAGGTCCTCTTCTCGCCTGCCACCTCCAAGCAACTCCATCTGAAGGGCACAGCTGTGGCTTTTGCCAGTTCTTGCTCTGTGTGCTCAGCAGCTCCAGACTGGAAGTGGCCGGGGCTCGAAATGGTTGGAGCAGTTCTTTTTTTCTTTCACTGTGGCTTCTCCTGCCTTCATGCACTCCAAAGGTCTCTTCTCCTCTTCCCCTGAGGTCTTGTGGCTCCAGCTTGGCTGTCATTGCTTTGTAATAGTTGTAAATTTGTTGATTTGTGGGAGAGAGTGATGCTGGGGACTGTTTATTCTGCCATCTTGACCGGAAGCCTGGCTCACTTCTTAAAATCAGTAAATGTAATCTGCCATAACAACATGCTAAAGAAGAAAAATTATGTAATCATATCAATTGAAGAAAAATCATTCGACAGAATTCAACATTCATTCATGGTTTAGAAAAGAAACTCTTGCAAAATAAGAAATAGAGGAGGAGCTTCCCTAAACAGGACAAAGAACATCTACAAAAACTCTACACCTTGCATCACATCTCATGGTGAAAGACTGAAAGCTTTCCTTTAAGATCAGGAACAAGGCAAGGATGTACAGCCTCATTGCGGTTATTCAGCATAGCACTGGAAGTTTTAGCCAGCAGAATAGGGCAAGGAAAAGAAATAAAAGGCATGCAGATTGGAAAGGAAGTAATAAAACTGTCCTTCTTTGCAGATGACATGATGGTATATGTGGAAAATCTCAAAGAACCTACAAACGAAACCAAAACTAAACAAAAAGCAAAAACAAATGCAGCATCATAGCTCAATACAGCAAAGTCTCGAAGTCTGGGAGAAATCAGCAGGACAGGACTCTGGTTTGTACACAGAAAATATAATTTTTTTTTTTTAACAGCTGAACAAAGATGTTTCAGAAGTTTCAATGAAAAGACTAAAGATTTTAATTTAAAAAACCCTAATACTACCTTTGCTTTTGGCTTTTCTCAAGCATCTTAAGAGATCACACTTTAGAGAAATTCCCAAGCTTTATTGTGCATCAGAATATCCTGGACGGCTTGTGAGAATGTGTATTGCTGGGCCCCAGCCTCAGAGTTTCTGATTATGTAGGCCTGGGATGGGGCCCAAGAATCTGCATTTCTAACAAGTCAGGTGATGCTTACGCTTCTGATCTACTTTGAGAATTGCTGCTCTAGGGCCTAGTTCTCAGAATCAGTACGTGGTCGGGAATTCTGAGAGTAAAGCCGACTTACTGACCACGTGCCCAAGTGAAAAACGCTCTTAGTTGCAAAAAAAAGTATTAGAGTGAAAGATTGGGAAAGTACTAAATGGAGCATGCCATTTTCAAGGAAGGACGAGACCTGCTTTTAGTGTTTTAAAGTGAGGGTCTTCCTACCGTGTGTCGCCGGCAGAGGGCAGACCCGCGCCGCAGAGTCGCCAAGAACGTGGCTCGGCCTTCTGGAGACTTGGGTCCAGTCCCGGCTTTGTCAGTCACTGGTCTCAGGGTGGACCTTTCCAGACCTTCACCTCCTGTCTTTCGAATGAAGTTATACAGCCTCCCCACTGTTCCACGGAAACACCCCGGGAAAGCATTTCATAGACACAGCGTCCCCTAGGAACACAGATTATCATCACAACGGACACGCTTCCAACGTGTGTGTGACACGTGCGTGTGACACGTGCGTTCATAACACGTCGTGCTCTTTCCTGTCTATGTAATTACCATGTGTCCTCATAATTTTAAAAGTATTTCTCCCGCCTTCATTGGCTTTCCCTTTTCTCTGG